GGGCCGGGCCTGGGGAGGGAGGGACGCGAGGCCGGCGTGGAAGGCGGGGCCTCCTGCCAATGCGGCCAGCCTGGGCACGGCCCACGACCTCTGTACGGATGCACGGCAGGCGTCCGCCAGGCGAGGCTCAGGACAGCCAGGGCTCGGCTGTGAGTGGCGACCTGGACGGGCGACCCAGTGAGAGCAGGGGAAGAGAAGGAAGGTTAACGCAGGAGGCATGTTCTCTCGTGTAAACGCAAGCATTGAAAAAATTCGTCATTGCTGTCCAGGCACGGTGGCTCGCGCCTGCAGTTCCAGCACTTGGGGAGGTCCAGGCAGGAGGGTCGCATGAGCTCAGGAGTTTGAGACCATCCTGGGCAACATAGCAAGACCCTGCCTCTTCAAAAAACGAAAACAGAACCAAAAAACCAATTGTTATTTTATGAAGGTTAAGTTACACGATTCCTGAGGATGGTAAGCTTGGCCCAAAGAGTCACAGTTGCATCCAGAGCTGCTGGCAGGGGCAGGGTCGCTTTCCTTCCACACTGCTAGATTTGGGCCACAAGGGAGCTCTGGGTTCAGGGGAGCAGTGGAAATGCCAAGGCTAGCGGGTACAGGGCCCGGCAGGGGAGGCCTCGGTCCAAGCCCCCCGCACCCCTCGCCCCCGCAGTCCCCCCAGGAGCCCTGACCACCCTGGCTGAGAGCTCCCGGGGATGGAGCAGCCAGTGCAGGTGGGAGGGGCCGTGGGCCTGGGAGGGGAGGGTCTGGGCAGGCACAGGGACGGCGTTCCAGCCCACCTGCACCCAGACACGCCGGGGCTCCCTCTGGAGGCGCAAGGGGGCTGGGGACAGGAGCCAGGTATCCCCACCGGCAACTGGGTGGGAGCCCGCCTCGGACGCTTTCTAGAACGTTCTGCTGGTTTAGACGCCAGAGCTGCCGCCATGCGTGCCAGCTGCCCCACCTTATGCCTCCTGCATAAATCCCAGCGAGGAGGCCTCCCCCGCCCAGAGCGTGTCTGTGCGGCTTGCCACGACGTGCGGGATCCAGGGCACCCTCTGCCCACAGGCAGGAGGATCACGGCTGGACACACGTGTCCTGCAGCCCCTGGGGAAGCCCCACTGAGGATCCCTGTATGGGAGCCCAGTCCCTGGAGTGTCAGGATCCCGGGCCACAGGACCCTGCTGCTCACGGAGAGCTCACGGCCCAGCGGCAGCAGCAGCCCAGCCCTGCATGGCCCAGAAGCGGCTTCCCAGGGTGCCCAAGTGCAATCCTGGGTCCTGAGCCCTTGCAGCCATGCAGCTCCGTGGTGGGCACGTGTGTAACAGAGTTGTGCATAGGACCTGTGGGTTCACAGCATCACCTCATGCATGGGGACACGGTGGACCCATGTGTTCATGACAGGGCTCTGTGCACGGAACATGTGTGTTCACACCCCACCCCAGGCATGGGGACATAGTGGACACACATGTTCGTAGTGACATCATGCACTAGGGAGACAGCAAGGCTGAGGGTCTGACCCCGGGAGAGGCAGGTGCAGCCTGGGGGTGTCCACTGGGTCCCTGGCCACAGCCGTGTGGCTCAGGGATTTCAAGCCCTAGGTTTGCGGGAAGCTAGGTGCTTGGTCAGTGGCGGCGGGCATGTGGGTCGAGCCCTGCGGGCGCCGAGGGGCTTCCCCTGGGGGGGTCCCGGGCCTTGCCCTGACCCGTGTGGCCTCCAGAGAGCCAGCCCGGCGCATCTGGCCAACCCTCCAGAACGCCTTCCTGGGAGCGCTCTGGAGATGCCCATGCCCGCTCCACGCTGGCCACTGCACCGATCCCGGCGTGCCAGGAGCCTGGCAGCCCTCGCCAGCCCATGCCAGCCCCAGAGCCGTAGCCCAGGAGGCATAATGCGGGCCGGGTGGGCTCCAGGGAGGCGGCGTGACAGGAGCGTCTAACCAACTCACCACCTTCTCTTGTTTCTCTCTCCTCCTGGCTCCTTCTGTCTTCCGCTGCTTGCCTAAACCCCTCCCTGCTCCCGGCCCGGTGTTGGCCACCCCCGACCGCGGAACGGGCAGACTAAGAACCAGTGCCTTTCTGTCGAGCAGTCAACCATCTTTATGCTCTCTCAGACTTCCAGCAGTCTGAGTTTCTGACGAAACAAGGTGATGCTTCTCTGCCTTTTGCATGTGGGGACGGTGGTCACCGGGAGCAGAGGGCGCTGCTGTCACGCAGAGCCCCCAGGTGCATGCCCTGGTGCTGACAACAGATCAGGAGTGACACGGTCGCCACCTCGGCAGATGTGGACACACATGTCTTGGGGGCACACGTGGACCAGGTGCCATGTCCCATCCATGGCAACTGACCTGTGTTCCTCTCCCAGTGTCCGTGGGAGGCGTCCAGTCCCGGGCTGAGGACTCAGACCGCCCCCCTGCGTGCTGCCAGACAGGCCCGTGTACAGCAAGGGGGGTGTCTGTGACTCCCACGTCTTGGGAGCCCAGAGGCTGGGTCACGAGTCCTCCGTGCCCACTCACCCACCTCCGTGTCCCGGTTCTGCAGACGGGGCCGCTGAGCACGCTGGGGTGGTGATGAGCCCATGGCCCATACTCACCAAGGGAGCCACATGGCGACAGAGAGGGGACGGAAGTGTCCCGTGTCAAATGTTTGACCAAATCCCCTTCTGAGATTTTGTTGTTTTTTAAATCTGACTGTGGAGCTGGGCACGGTGGCTCACGCCTGTAATCTCAGCACTTTGGGAGGCCAGGACTTTGAGATCAGCTCTAAGGGAGAAAAAAAGACCTGATTGCTTTTAGGACGAACTTCTAATTGGTTGTGAGGGACCCACGTGGTATCTCCGCAAATGTGAAGCCACTCATGCCACGTTATTTTGGTGGTGGCTGCCCACGACAACAGCTGTCCATCCAGAGCCACGATTCAGGGACCCAAGCGTCCTCTGGAGCTCGTGGCCCGGAGGTTTTTTGGGTGTTTTTTCCTCACCTGATGCCGCATTTCCAGAAGCCTCAAAATAAATGATGCGTGGAGAACGCAGGCTGGGTTTTACTTTCTATCCGTGCAGCTTAGGAAGATGCTTAAGGCAGGAAGAAAGACTACTTAAAAAATAACAGTTCATCTTCCGTATATTTTAAGCACTGCTCTGTAATTCACAAGGTGTTCCATTTCTCAAGTTCAGGTAGTTAGCAGCAATCAAGACTTTTATACCTTGGTGTCATTCGAACTTGTTAGAATGAGGGACAGAATCACACCTCTGTACTCCTGCTTGAATGCATTCAGGGTGAGATCACTGGGGGCACGTCCACAGGGCCCAGGGGACCCTTAGGAAATGGCCGAATGACGCCACCTCTGGGTGAGGAAGACACCCTCCCCCTGGTGACAGTTCTGTGGGGAGCAGGTTCTCTCTGGAGAGGTGCGGAGCTGGGTGCTGGCTGGCTGCCTGGAGGAGGCAGCATGAGGCTCCGCCCAGCCCCCGTGAGGCCTAGGCCCGGGTGACCCCGCAGGCAGGGCGGGCGCCTTAACATAGAGCACCTGCCGCCGGCATGCGCCTGGCACGTGTGGGGACACGTGCTGTGTGACCACCAGATCTGCAAAACTTTGGAGGAAGAAACATCTCACTGGCCCTCCGCAGGGCGCAGGTCCCCCAGTCGAGGGCTCCTCTCCTGGCCTGTGCCTGTCAGAGGGACGGCACAGCACCGGCCGTGCATTCTCTGCGGGCAGCCTGTGCTGAGAATGCATGTGCGCGCCCCTCGTGGCCTGCGGCACGCTCGCTGTGCCCGGCACGCCCGCGTGGCTCCCGCTGGGTGACGCCCGCCTGGTCCTGCTCCTGTGCCTGGGTGCCCCTTCTCCACCGGGGACGCGGCTCCCGCTTCTGGCCCGTCACCCCTCTGCCTCCCCGCTCCTCCTTCTCAGAGGCTCCGCGGCCGGG